CTTTTTTTTTTAATCATGTCCCTGTAGAGTATTTATGCCTTTAAAATGCACTTTATAAATAGTTTTACTTTTTTCTGACCTCCGAAACGAATTAATTAGTTTTCAATGCATTTATGAATTTTTTTTTTAATGATGTCCCTGTACAGTATTATGCCTTTAAAATGCACTTTATAAAGAGTTTTTGTACAGATAGACTTTTTTTGATTTCTTTCTGACCTCCGGAACGGATTCATTTGTTTTCAATGCATTTCCTGCTGATTCTGTGATCCCCAGCCCCTACTACGCCCACCTCCCACAGCTGATGCCCACCCCTCACAACCTTTTCTACACCGCATCTCCACCACCTGGGAAACACTTCTGCTGCTGATGTCCACCCTTCATCTCAAGCCAAACCTCACCCCTCAATCTAGGACTTACACAAACTGGAACTTGCAGCTTGACTACCCTCGGCCACAACCTATCGACCTGAACTCTACCCATCCCTATCCTAAGCATGAGAACTCTAGCTAGAGGAAGACACAGCGACGATATACGCCGCTGCACGCTAGATTATCTGCAACCAAGCACCCTGAGAAACTTCCCACAACACTTTCCGCCGCTCCGTTTACCTTCCTAAAATGCCTCCTTTACTCCTCATACTCCTCTCCTCCGTTCCCAAAATCTCTTCTCTATATCCCTCTGCTCCTCCCAAACAACTGTACATTGCGCCCTCACTGCTTCCTTCTCCCCTCTACGGCTCTCACCACCTCCTCCTGATACTCCACTCTCCCACTGACCCGACCACCTCCACTGGTACTTACACGCTCCTGCACATCCCACCTTTCTCACCCTCCTTCCCCTCCTAACCGCGGGGGACATCTCCCCGAACCCTGGTCCTCCACCACCTTGCTCACCCACAAGGCACCCTCCCACTTCCACGAACTGCCGCAACCCCCTCAATCTAATACCTGTCCCTCTGCTCCCCAAACCCCCCCCCCCCCCCCCCCCCCCCCGTTTTCGTGCACACTCCTGAACGCCCGATCGGTTTGCAACAAACTCACCGCCATCCACAACCTTTGCTTCCCACTCCCTCAACCTCCTAGCGATCACGGAAACCTGGATCCAAGCCACTGACGCTGCCTCCCCTGCAGCACTCTCCTAGGGAGGTCTCACCTGGACCCACTCACCCAGACCCAGTGGTCGGAAAGGTGGTGGGGTTGGTCTGCTCCTGTCACCGCTGAGGACCTTCCAAGTCCTCCCAAACCCCCCCTTCTCTATCCTTCTCCTTTGAGGCCCACTGCATCCGACTATTCTCTCCAATCCCCCTGAGGATCACAGTAATCTATCGTCCCCCTGGACCCACTTCCTCGGCGACTTCTCCGCCTGGTTACCCTTCTTTCTCTCCTCAGAGCAACCCACCATCATCCTTGGCAACTTCAACATCCCTATCAACGTCAATAACCCGGCTACATCCCAACTCCTCCACCTAACCTCTTCTTTTGCACTCGCACAGTGCATACAGTCCTCCACCCCCACTCCGAAGGGAACATCCTGGACCTTGTTTTCTCCGACCTCTGCGCTCCCCACAACCTCACAAACACCCTCTTTCCCTCTCTCTGACCACAACCTCATTACATTCTCCGTCTCCCCGTCCTCAAAACACCTCCCCCCCAAACGTCAAACTATCACTAGCCGAAACCTTTGCAACATGAACCCTGCCTCCTTCCACTCTGCAGCTGACCAACTTTACGACAGTATCCTTCACGTCCTGCCCTGACCTGGCCACTACTGTCTATAACAACTCGCTGTCAGCCGCTCTTGACTCGCTAGCACCCCCCCAACTACAAGCAGCATTAGACCCCGACCGCTTCAACCCTGGCAGAACGACCACACCAAAAAACTTAAACGACGCAGTCGTGCGCTAGAGCGACTATGGCGCAAAACCAGATCCCAACAAGTGCTCACCCGATATAAATCCGCCTTCCTCACCTACACTTCTTCGCTCCACGCAGCCAAGCAAGCCTACTTTGTGACCCCCATCAATACCTTCTCCTCCAGTCCTCGCCGGCTCTTCTCTACTTTTAACTGTCTACTCTTTCCACCCCCACCTCCACCCAGTACCTCACTCACCGCCCACGAGATTGCCAACAACTTCAAAAACAAGATCGACGCAATTCGTAGGGACATCGCCACTGCTCAGACTTCCACCCCACCTAGCACCCCCCCTCACACGAAAAACCCCCTCAACACCACTCTCCCTCGCCACTGTCCAGACCTCCTCCCTGCCCAACATTCCTCAAACTAAAACCCCCTCAACATTCCTCTCCTTCGACCCTGCTACCACTGAAGAGGTCACAAAGGTCTTCTCTGAAGCCTGCCTCACCACTTGCCCCCTCAACCCTGTCCCCACACAACTCCTACGGTCACCCTCCTCCTCCATCCTACGCTCCCTCACTCACATCTTTAATCTTTCCCTCTCTACTGGCGCATTCCCCTCCCCCCTGAAGCACGCGCACATCACTCCCATACTTAAAAAACCCTCCCTGGATCCCAACGACCTAAACAACCTTAGACCCATCTCTCTGCTGCCATTTACATCCAAACTCCTTGAGCGCTTAGTCTATAATCGCCTGAGTTCCCACCTCACCGACAACAACCTCCTTGATCCCCTACAATCTGGCTTCCATCCCCTACACTACACCGAAACCGCCCTACTCAAACTCACTAATGACCTGCTAACCTCCAAAACCAAAGGCCACTGCTCCAGTCCTCCTACTCCTCGAACTCTCCGCGGCCTTTTACATGGTTGACCACCCCCTCCTCCTCAAAAAACTACGCTCTCTTGGTCTCAGAGACTCGGCTCTCTTCCTATCTATCACAGCGCTCCTTCGGTGTTATCTATAACGCTGCCACCTCCCTCTCACTCCCCCTCTCTGTTGGGGTCCCTCAAGGTTCTGTCCTCGGGCCCCTTCTCTTCTCCATCTACACCTCCTCCCTTGGCCAACTGATACACTCTCACGGCTTCATCTACCATCTCTATGCCGACGACACGCAAATCTATCTCTACCCCTTGCCTCACCCCTTCAGTCCCCGCCCGAATCACTAGCCTACTTCTCCATCACGTCCAACAATGCCACCATCAGGCCTGCCCTGCAGGCCAGAGTACTTGGTGTCACTCTAGACTCCAATCTGTCCTTCCAGCGCCAGGTCCAATCGCTGACAAACTCATTCACTCCCTTGTTATATCACAACTTGACTACTGCAACTCCCTCCTCACTGGCCTACCTCACTGCAGGCTATCCCTGCTTCAGTCTAAACTGAACTTAGCGGCCAGACTCATCCACCTTACCAACCGCTCCGTATCCGCCACCCCTCTCTGCCAATCCCTCCACTGGCCTCCATTCAGTGTCCTCCACCCCTCTCTGCCAATCCCTCCACTGGCCTTCACTCAGTGTCCTCCACCCCTCTCTGCCAATCCCTCCACTGGCCTCCACTCAGTGTCCTCCACCCCTCTCTGCCAATCCCTCCACTGGCCTCCATTCAGTGTCCTCCACCCCTCTCTGCCAATCCGTCCACTGGCCTTCACTCAGTGTCCTCCACCCCTCTCTGCCAATCCCTCCACTGGCCTCCACTCAGTGTCCTCCACCCCTCTCTGCCAATCCCTCCACTGGCCTCCATTCAGTGTCCTCCACCCCTCTCTGCCAATCCCTCCACTGGCCTCCATTCAGTGTCCTCCACCCCTCTCTGCCAATCCCTCCACTGGCCTCCACTCAGTGTCCGCCACCCTCCTCTGCCAATCCCTCCACTGGCTTCCGATTGCCAATGCATAAAATTCAAAATGCTAACATTGACGTACAAAGCTGTTCATAACACTGCCCCTAACTACATCACCGATCTGATATCCAAATGCCACCCAAAACGTACTCTCCACTCCTCACAAAACCTCCTACTTACTAGCTCCCTGGTCTCCTCCTCCCATGCCCGCCTCCAGGACTTCCCCCATCCTCTGGAACTCCCTACCCCAATCCATCAGACTATCACTTACTCTCCTCTCCTTTAGGCGCACCGAGAACCCACCTCTTCAAGAAAGTCTACCCCGCCCTCAGCTAATTACTGAACGCCTCCACTCTTCCTACCACTCTATCCCCCACAGCTATCCCCTCCCTCCTAGATTGTAAGCTCCAAGGAGCAGGGCCCTCAAACCCCTCGTGTATTGTATTGTTACTGTACTGTCTTGTGTATTGTCTCCCTTTTATAATGTACAACTGTTGGCGCTATATAAATCCTGTATAATAATAATTTCCAGATTTTTTTTAATCATATCCCTGTACAGTATTTATGCCTTTAAAGTGCACTTTATAGTTTTGAACAGATAAAAATCCAGTCAATAATAAGGACGGCCCTGCATATGTCCAATTATTTTTATTTATTTTAAATCAGACCTCTGAGTTTCTGTGAAATCTCCCACCACAAAATGCACTCAGCCAATGACAGGTGAGGACGCCATTTTTATTCTTCTCCTGCCATCGATGGCCAACCCAGTCCCACACTTCATCCACGTCTTTGGTGACCTCTGACCTTCTTATGAACTGTTTCTTCCATGATGATCAGCCATGGAGTATATCTGAGGTGTATATCAGGGTGTGCTTCTTCCCCACATGAGAGCTGGGATGTCCAGCAACATTCATCTATAAGACATTTCCCGCACTCAAGGCACTAATACACGTCCAGGGTTCTGTGGGACCCCAGGAAGACAGGACTTCAGTGAGGAACATTTCCCTCACTCAGGACAAGGAAGTGGCTTCTCCCCCATGTGAGATCTCTGATGTCTACAAAGATGACACTTCCTTGAAAAACATTTCCCGCACACAAGACAGGAATACGGCTTCTCATCAGTGTGAGATTTCTGATGTCTGTAAAGATGGGACCTCAGTGAAAAACATTTCCCGCACACAGGACAGGAATACGGCTTCTCCCCCGTGTGAGATCGCTTATGTGTGTAAAGATGGGACCTCACTGAAAAACATTTCCCGCACTCAGGACAGGAATACGGCTTCTCCCCCGTGTGCACTCTCTGATGTGTGTAAAGGTGGGACTTCAGTGAAAAACATTTCCCGCACTCGGTACAAGAATGTGGCTTCTCCCCCGTGTGAGATGTCTGATGTCTGTAAAGACTGCACTTCACTGAAAAACATTTCCCGCACTCAGGACAGGCATACGGCTTCTCCCCCGTGTGACACCTCTGATGTTTGTAAAGACTAGACTTCACTGAAAAACATTTCCCGCACTCAGGACAAGAATACGGCTTCTCCCCCGTGTGACACCTCTGATGTTTGTAAAGCTTGGACTTCTGTGAAAAACATTTCCCGCACTCAGGACAGAGATGCGGCTTTTCCCCCGTGTGCAATCTCTGATGTGTGTAAAGATTGGACTTCACTGAAAAACATTTGCCGCACTCAGGACAGGAATGTGGCTTCTTCTCCCCCGTGTGAGACCTCTGATGTGTGTAAAGACTAGCCTTCACTGAAAAACATTTCCCGCACTCAAGGCAAGAATACGGCTTCTCCCCCGTGTGAGACTTTTGGTGTCTGCCGAGTGTGGATTTCCTTGTAAAACATTTCCCACACTCAGTACAAGAATACGGCTTTTCCCCGGTGTGAGACCATTGATGTGTGACAAGCTCTGATTTTTTTATAAAACATTTCCCGCAGTCCAAACAGGAATACAACTTCTCCCCCGTGTGCAATCTCTGATGAGTGTGAAGATTGGGACTTATCTGAAAAACATTTCCCGCACTCGGAGCAAGAAAATGGCTTCTCCCCCGTGTGACACCTCAGATGTATGGATAGATAGGACTTATTTGAAAAAAATTTCCCACACACAGTACAGGAGAACCTCTTGTTTGTTGGAAGGCCGACCCGATCCCGCACAGTCTGAGGTTCCTCAGGATACGAGGAATTCGATGGTCCATCTACACTGGGTGGTGCCGGATGGACATTGGGTGGAGCCGGGTTTTCTCCTGGACTATACTGTGTGATGTCCTCATCTTCTACTTTCCAATCTGGAGACAAAGTGAGACAATCCTCGGAGGTTTTCCTCATCTCCCGGCCATGGACTAAAATACAAAGACAAAGAGGATTACTAGGCAGGAGCCCCACCAGAGGTCAGAGAGTGAGGATGGGGGGAGGACAACCAAGAGGAAGACTGGACTCATACTGAAGACCACCATCACTGGGGTATTGGCTCCTCCCCCATCCTGACCCTGAAGACCACCATTATTGGGGTATTGGCTCATCTCCCATCCTGAAGACCACCATCATTGGGGTATTGGCTCCTCCCCCATCCTGAAGACCACCATCATTGGGGTATTGGCTCCTCCCTCAACCTGAAGACCACCATCATTGGGGTATTGTCTCCTCCCCCATCCTGAAGACCACCATGAAGAAATCCATAAATACAGAACAGGGAACACAGCTCAGGAAAGTGACCAGGGTATTACAGGCTGATATCACCCCACCCTACTCTGGACCAATCAGTGAGCGGTATGGGTGGAGGAATGGATTTAGTGTTCATGACCCACCTGTGCTGATCGCTGTAGGAGTGTCCTCCTCTATAAATGTCCCCGTTATTCCATCCTCCTCCATAGACTGCTGATCATCCCTCACATACGCCTCTTCTTCTTCTGATTTCACCTCAAATTCTATATCGATTGGATCTCCACTCTACATCAAGGAAAGGGAGAGAAAATATCATCTTCTAGGACCCATACCTTATCTCCATTGGACACTTTCATGTTCCAGATACTCCAACCTACTTACCTGATCATGTTGTCTATAGTTGTGATCTTCCTGTGTGGAATCCCAGGAATACAGAGGACAGAGATATCTCTCTGGTGGGTTCCCATGACTGGATCCATCTATCTGATGATGGTGAGAGAAGGTGAGATCTACCTGTGTGAAATCCCGGGAATACAGAGGACGGGGACATCTCTCTGGTGGGTTACTGGTATTAGGTGGTTCTATCACTCCATACTCCTCATCCTCCTCTTTATACTCTTCTTTAACTACAATATTATGTACCCCTGTTATTCCATCATCCTCCATAGACTGCTGATCATCCCTCACATACGCCTCTTCTTGTTCTGATTTCACCTCAACTTTTATATCTGTCAGATCCTCACCCTAAACCAAGAGAAGGAGAGAAAATATAATCTCGGAAGGTCTATAAATCATCTTCATGAGTCATTTATGTTCTAGGTTCTCCGTCCCACCAACCTTGTAATGGTGAGGGATGGTGTGATCTTCCTGTGTGGAATCCCGGGAATACAGAGGACGGGGACATCTCTCTGGTGGGTTCCTGGTATTAGGTGGCTCCATCATATCCTTGTGTCCTTCTGAAAACTCCTCCATCACTCCATACTCCTCATCCTCCTCTTTATACTCTTCTTTGACAACAACATTATCATTCCAGTGACTTCTCTCTGGTGGGTTTCTGTAGCTGGATGACTCCACCATGGTGTCCTGGTACAGATCTTTGTGTCCTTCTGGAATCTCTGACTCCTCCATCCCCCCATCCTCATCCTCCTCTTCTTTTATCTCTTCTTTAACTTCAACTTTAGAATCTCTCAGGTTTCCACTCTGAATATATAATAAAAATGACATCAATGGTAACAATGCAGATAATGTACAGATCCTAATGATACTATCGGTGATTGTTCCTCATCTACCTGATGATGGAGAGGGATGGTGTGACCTTCCTGTGTGGAATCCCAGGAATACAGAGGACGGGGACATCTCTCTGGTGGGTTCCCATGACTGGATCCATCTGTAGGAAACACACACACTGACTGAATCCATTGTTTCTATGGGTTTATCAGATGATGGGGGATCTAGGTGGAGCCTCCGTACTGCTCTCTCCTTTCCAATAAAGTCTCCTCTTACCCGGTGATCTGAGGGGCAGCTGATTGTCCGTCATGACATCCTTGTAGAGGTCCTTGTGTCCTTCTAAATACTCCCACTCCTCCATGGAGAAATAGACAGTGACACCCTGACACCTTATAGGAACCTGACACACACGATACAGTCACCATCCAGACACATCCCTTGGGTTGAACCTTCACAGACATCAGGAATAGTTATTACATAAAATACAAACATACATATTATAAGTCCACCTCAGGATACAACTCCCATACCCAATTATCGCATAATCTGTTAATAATAAACTGAAAAGATTAAATTGATGGATTAGCAACACATCTCCACAATGAGGAGAATGTACCGGCCCCGGAAGTGGGGGAATGTTCTGCCCCTGAAGGGGTTAATCTGGGTTCCCACACTATATATGTGTGTATCATCATCTGCTGGAGATAAAAGACGTGACGGTGGAGGGAGAGGACGGACGTGACGATGGAGGAAGAGCGTGGAGGAAGAGGATGGGCATGACGGGGGGTTACTGGGTGTGAATAGAAAATAAGATCTTATCACCTCCTCTACTGCCACTTCCAGCAATGTCTCCTCTCTATATTGTACCTCAGGAAACTTCCTGTCTTTATCTGACATCACTTCCTGTCCCCCATAGAGACTTCCTATCTGGGTAGAAGTGAGATCCCCACCTTGTGGAGCTCAGAGGAACTGCAACCCCAAGAACCGTCTGGTAGTGTGACCCCGGCCTTGTGCTGGGTGTGTATGGATTGTATGTCCTCATAGAGGGGTCACCTCCACTCCCACCAAGGGGGACAGGAATATATGACTGCCTAGTCCAGCCTTTCTCAGCCAGGGGTCCTCCAAAGGTTTCTAGATGTTCCTTCAGCAATGAAAAATTTGTGTCTCTCAGTAACAACTGACATCAATAATCTGTAAGGGGGTCCTTCTCCCACTGATGACCATGTAAGAATGTCCTTCTCCCACTGACCACTGATATATGGGGGACCTTCTCCCTTTGGTCACCAATTTAAGGGACCACTACACTGACCACTGATAAAAGGGGTCCTACTCCCATCGGTCAATGTAGGGACCACTACACTGACCACTGATATAAGGGGTCCTTCTCCCATCGGTCACCAATGTAAGGGACTGCTACACTGACCACTGATATAAGGGGGTCCTTCTCCCATTGTCACCAATGTGAGGGACCACTACAATGACCACTGATATAAGGGGGTCCTTCTCCCATTGTCACCAATGTGAGGGACCACTACAATGACCACTAGGGATGAGGTCCTACTTTACCTTGCAGCTGCCAAATCCCTAAGGACCACCTACCTCATCAGAAATCACCACCATGTAAGAAAAGGAAAGGGGGTGGCAGTGACATCACTGCCCAAGTATGGTCACTGGACAATGTCCCCCACCATCATAGAGTAGATTACATCTTGGAATCTGTCATTCAGCAGGTGGTACCTTCGGGTGATATGTACACATATGGTGGAGGGAAGTATATTATTATTATTAAGAAAGGCTTCCACATTCCAACAAGCTCTCTGCTAGCAGACATCCATACCAGGCCACATGTTCTCAGCATGGGGATAGTATCTTCACAAATTCATTCACTCCTGGTTGGAAGGTTGAACAAGTCCAATGTATGAGCTGGTATCGGGGAACATGAGGACCCTGTACAACATGAGGCATCGATTAAATGGAGATTTGTATACTCACCTTTCCGTAATTCTCCTTTCCTGGCGCATCTTCATGGCAGCATCCAATACGTTGTGACTCCGCCTCCACATCCTGATAAATCAAAGACAGACCGGCTCGCAGCATTCTTTGTAAATCTCACTATGTGGGTGGAGATCTGTATACTGCCATGAAGATGCACCAGGAGAGGAACATTCCGGAAAGGTGAGTATACAATTTTGGGTTTTCTTGGTACATCATGACAGCATACAGTGGGAACTAACTCGCCAGATGGGAGGGCCCAAGAAAACGACCAGTAGTGTAGGTTTGCGCCTGCACAACTTTCCAAAATCTGCAGTTGTGATCTGAGCTGGGTTCACTTAGTAAAGCGTAACAAAGGTGTTCCAGAAGGACCATGTCGCTGACTTGTGAAATTGCCTCAGGAGGCTCTCGGCATTGCGCCATCCACAGAGTTGGCACTGCCCTGGTTGAATGTGCTCTTCAATCTCCCGGAACAGGAAGGGCTTATGAAGACTAGGGTCTTTTAGTGGTCTTAACAATCCGGGAGGCAATTGTACATGTTGAAGTTTACCGACCTTGCCTCAAGCCATGTGAGACCAAGCACAGATTTCCTCTTGCCCATATGAAGAGGTGGCGATCATTTAGGCCTTCAGAGTCAAACCAACACCCAGAGGGTGCGGTTCTCCTGCTTCACCAAAGAAAGATGGTAAATTGACTTTCTAGCTAAAGTGGAACGTGGAAGCCATCTTAAGGATAAAGCGGTCTCAAGGTTTAAGGACTACTCTGTCAGGGCAGAACATTAGATGAGGCTCCTCATGTACAAAAAGCTGCAGTTCTGACACCCTTTAGTTAGAGGATATAGTGACCAAAAATATGGTCTTCAGGGTTGGATTCCAGAGTCTATCCAATTGCGTAGGACTGTCAGGGTCCTGTCCACGGCAGAAGTCCTAGAAGATCTGGCATTTCTGCCAGTACTCTGCATGGCCGCAGAAGGACACATCAGCCTCAGTTTGGTGCCAGACGGCCTTTATAAGGAGGCTCATCACTTCCTCAAGTTGCTGGATGATCTCTAGCTCCCCGTGCCCTGTTCCTGTTTCCTGTGACTTTGACCTGTGATTTCCTGTTACCGACT